GCAACTCCTGTTTATTAAAATATGCAAATAGGACAGAAAGACATAAAATTTAAAAGTATTTGTCACTACTTCAGTTCTTCATGAAAGGGATTACTATGATCAATTTCCTGTGAGTTATTCTAGCATGTGTTTAGTGTATGTAACAGTACATATATGATATATGCTTTTTAAAAGGAGACATACTGTCTTTAATATGTTTACCCAGATGGATGGACTCATACTCTATTACTGGTTTGCAACATCTTTTCTCCATTTCAATCTTAATTGCTACAGTATTCACTTGTATAAATGTACTATAATATAAACTAGTTTCTTTTTGATGATTTTGAATTTTTCTTTTAGAAACAATCCTGGAATGACTAAACCAGTGACAAAAGAACATCTAAATGTTTGATTCTGTTTAGATACGGCACAAATTCAGGTGAAACTAATCTTTGCTAAGAGTCCTCCCTTGGTGAAGGGACTGGAAGAGGGGTTCCTAGGTTGCTTATCTGTTTCTTGATTTGGATGTTAGTTACCCAAGTGTGTTCCTTTTGTAAAGTGTCATTGATTTTTACTAAGCTTTAAAGTAGTTTTCAGGGGAAGGGTATAGCTCAGTGGTAGAGCACGTGCCTAGCATTCACGAGGTCCTGGATTTAATCCCCAGTACCTCCATTAAAAAAATAAATAAACCTAATTATTTCCCCCTCCATCCCCCACCCCCAAAATAATGTACAGTTTTCAGCACCCATGTTGTATTTCAGTAAGTTGAAAAGAGTTAGTTGTTAGTGAAATTGCTGCTTGTGAAACACTGATCCTTTTTGCAGCAATGATTACTTGAGTTACTTTTATTGAGTTCTAGCTTTGTGCTTTGCATATTTAAATGACTAAATATATAATAGTTACAAATATATGATTGATGCATGTAACCTTACACTGTCTTCTCCAGAGTACTATTCTAGCATCATAGCTTCAACAGTACAGCTATATGGGGGAATCCAAGTTCCTGGATTTGGCCTCTTGATATTATCTGATCACAGTTCCTATTTGTCCAACAGTCTGTAGGACATTTTCACTTAGAATTTCACCCCCAAATAGCACATATTAAAAACCTAACAATCATACCCCCACCCTACCAGTCTACGTCTTAAAAATCAACTCTCATCTTAACCTTTTTTTTTTTAAATCAATTGCTATGCTCTGCCATCCAGCCTAAAATCTCAGGCTTTGGCTCTTCCACTTCCATCAACATTTACATCACCAAGGATTGTAAGCTTTTCCTTGGACCTAGGACTTGCATTCATAATATGCTTTCCATTTTCACTGAACTCCATTTTTTCATGTCTGAAATTTCTAGTCGTTTTCAAATCGTGTTTCACTGATACCTGGTTTTTCCTTCCTCACTTCAAAAAGTTGACATATTGATGTTGGTTCTGTTAGACTGGTGTTTCATGATATCTTTCCCTTGTTTAGAATCTTCAATTGCCTCCAGGGAAAACCCCCAAGTCTGACATTCAGAACATTTCTATAGACTGATCCTTATCAACCTATCCCATTCTTTATCTTTTCCTACTTTTTCCCAACCTTCTTCAGCTGCTGAGATTCTTCGCTATGTCCCAGACATGCCAGGCAAGTTCCAAATTTAGTATTTTTATATGTGCTGTTCTTTTAACTCTACTATAAAAGAATTAGTGGAGTGAATGTTCCGCTAACAACTTTTGTCCTCTTTAAGAAATACTTCCAAACCCGTAGTCCTAGAGTTAGTATTCATAAAATCTATTCCTCTGGCCACAACTGACCAGTCTAAGTATGCATTTGACTCAGACTTGGTCCGTCAGGCTGCCTCCTGGGAACTGGAAATTTTGAAGTGAGAGTCCATGAGCCCACACAGCATTGCTTGAGTCAGCTGCACAGCGACGTCAAGCAGCCTCTCTAAAAACTCTGACTGTCCAGACTGCCTGGGCTTCTGCACTTCTTGAGGCTTTATTATTCACCTATTTCTTCCTCAGATTTCATGTACCTCCCCTGTATTCTTACAATAACGTTTCCTTTGCTTAATGTCATGGCGTTAATTTGTTTCTTACAACCAAAAAAAATCGCAAATAATGTAATTTCTTTCTCATTTGTTCTCGCATTTATTCTGTAAATACGTTGCTGGGTCCTTTGATTGATAGGTGAAGAGAAGAGTATCAGCATCACTGAGTGTTCACTTCATGAGCCGGGCAAGTTCCATTACAGCACAAAAGCTCTGGAGTTATTCTTCTGTCCTACTCATGGCCAAGAAGTAGCATGAGAACTACATGGGCCAGGGATACAGGAATACCTATGCACCTGGAGTGAATTCAAGACTTGGGATTTCATAATTGGGACAGTGGCATTCTCAGATATATTTCTGGAGACAAATGGGTCCCCTCAACTTGGTATTCTATAAGCCTCCAGAATTTTGACTAAACACTAAGAGAAAAGGACAGAACACTAAAGTGATTGAGATTATGAAACTTTGTGGGATGTGGGACTTGAAATAGAGTTGAATTATAGGAAAATAAAGTTCTATTTCTTGCACATTTTAGTTTGTGAGCTGAGATTTATATTGCAATAGAAATAATGGATTTTGTAATACTTTAGGTAAAGTACTGTAAGATGCACATTATTCTTTTCCAAACTCAGTTCAAAATGTAATTTATTACTTGAATAATGAATTCACTAGTTACCCTACAAGATATGAAGTTTAATTTTTAAATGTCCATCCTATTTTGGTACGTATCATTTTATATTAAAATAAGGATTAGGCAGGTGTGTGTTTGAAAGGTTACTTCATTAATTCCATGAAATGTTCTTCAAATACAGGAAAATAAAAACTCCTTAAATCCTGAGGGGGAAGGGGTAATTAGGTTTATTTATTTTTAAATAGGGGTCCTGGGGATTGAACCTAGGACCTCACACATGTTAAGCATACACTCTACCAGTGAGCTACAGCCTCCCCCCAACTCCTAACAATTTTTATTTATTCATGCCACTAGAAACTCATGGAAATACAAATCTAGATCTATTCCAGTGAAAAGATAACAAAGCAAGAGGCTTATCAAATGGATTCAAGGCATAAAATAGCCTTTTCTTTTCCTGGCATCAGCTAAGCCCATTGTAGGGATATAAGCATGTTGATATTGTCAGTTGATTCTTTTAGTAACTGTTCATCAACATAAACTATTACTGTAAATACTACTGTGGATTCCAGGTGCATAGTGGTAAAGTTCTATCAATTCACAAAACACTGTATTATGTTACTCCTTTACCCTACTCCTGACCACACTGGATAATACTAATCTTTTTTATTTTCATTAATCTAATTGACCCATAAAATGGCAGGGCACCTCATTTTATTTTCATTTGCATTTTTTGGTTACTAATGAGTTTATAGGTCTGTTTATTAGGTTATTGGCCATTTATACTTCTCCTTCCTCATCTATTTTTCTATTAAGTTGTTTAACTTTTACTCATTGGTTTGTAGGATTAAAAACAAAAACACTTTTCTTAAGACCAAGACCTGCTCAGTCAAGATAAAGCAAATCTAAAGCCTTCCAGTAACTTAAAACTATATTCCATAACCTTGAAATAGTTATAATTATGGCTTTAAGTATTGCTACAGAATGATTAATCATGAAAAGCACTGTCCTATAATGGCTGAAAATCTCTGGGAGACAGACCACATTTACAGATCCCTATTCTAATTCTTGTTCCTGAAGTCTCTACTTAGATGATGATCTGGTCTATAACACAAATCATACCTCTAGGTTTGGATCATCACAGACCTGTACTACTTGCAAGGATTTATAAGAATGTTAGTTTGTTTTGTTTCCTTCAGTAGTGGAAGAATTCTCTCAAATACAAAATACAAAAAGCTAAACACCCTTGTGTACTGAGCTGCCATGTATGGTGTGCAGATTGTGCACTGCACAAATCCAAGAACACCATTCATATTGTAATCTATGCAAATGCTGATGCCAAGGCACGACTTGTGTATGAATAAGGCAGTCTTATTTGTGCAGTATCATTAAGAAAGTCAACAGACAAGTGGGGACTAAGTACAAGTAATCATGTTGACTCTTTCCTAGTTTTTCACTCCAACTGCTTTTCTATAAGCTTCTTAAGGCATTTAAAAAGATGTGATTTTTTTTTAAATGGTATTAAGGTTATATTTGGCTGCAAAGAACAGAGTCACTCATGCTAACTCAAGAATGATCTCTGCTTAAATCTCAATCTGCCAGACATAAAAAAACAAGAAGTGAAGTACAGATAGGATTCACAGGTTCCAGACTAGGAAATGATTTTCTGTTAAAAGCAGATTAAAAGATATAGCCTTATAAAAATATAAAATACCTATACAACAACTGTCCTTTAAACCAAGATGAAAGGTAAGAGGTTGAATGAGAGAAAGTATTTAGAGGAATGTACTAATTGTTGTTGGCAGTAAAAATTTCTACAGCATTTTTGGACTCTTTCAGACACGCTATATAAAATGTATCTGCTCCAGAATTGCTATTTCAGAAATCTGTTCTGCAGACACACACACACATCAACAAAGGTGGAGGATATGATGTTCACTGCAGCATTGCTTTTAGTAGTAAAATAGAGCAGACAACTACAAGTCCAGCAAAAGCACAGTTATATAAACTGCAGTGCATCTCTACTGTGAGGTGCAAAGCATTGGTTGGAAAGATGGAAATAAGGAAGGCAGAAAGGAAGGAAGCAGGGACTGGTGAGGAGAAAGGGAGGTGTCCTAATCATTAAATGCGTGGTCTTTACAGTAAGAGAACTGAGTTTAATTCCTAAACTAGCTAACTATTATGACCTTGGGCAAGTGCTTCAGTTTCTTCATTTTTAAAGTAGTGATAACAATGGTACCTACTTCATTAAGATGAGGTTTTCCTTGTGAAAGTGATTTTTTTTTCATTGCTCTGGCATTTGTTTATTCATTTAGGTATATATATGTATATATATATATACATACACACACACATATATTTATTGCAGTATAGTCCGTTTATAATGTTGTATCAATTTCTGGTGTACAGCATACGTGAAAGTGATATTGAGCAAGGTGCTTATATAAAATTAAGTGTTGCAGTTAAAGGAAGCAAACTCCACTGGTATGCATGCACACTGGCAGGTCCGAAGTAGGTACTTTAAAAAAAAAAAGGAATGTGAATATTGAGAACCAGAAACTTGAAATGAAAATATCATTTATGCAACTAAATCAACACATGACCTTGGGGACCATCCTCAAGTACACTGTTCAATTTAGCTCAATTAAACAAATATTTAGTAAGCAATTACTATGTGCTAACTATTGGATAATGGAAGGAATACACTTACCCAGAGGGTGAAAGGTTAGTGATCTTGAAAGGTCATGCAGAATTATGATGTCAGGAACCCAACTCATATCATCTGGTTTAACTTGTCAAGTCACTTGCATTGTACTGCAATTTTATGTTGACTTGCCTGTCTTCCCAAAAGTGGTAAATTCCTCAAGGGCAGGAGCTCTTACCTTTTCTTGGTATCTCTAATGTCTATAGTTTACAGCTCTAATATGTAGCAGGGGTAAATAAATAAGCATTCCCTTGATTAAGTAAGAATACATAGATTAATAAATGGGGTTTTCTCCTCCACCACCTTTTTTTTGATTGTCCCTAGGATTTATCTAACAAATTGTGTAATTTTTTACTTACTTTTGTTTGTCTCTCTCTCCTGTAGAGAATGATCCCTGATGTGCTTCACTCATGTCTTCCAGGTACTATAACAGTGTCTAACACAGATAACTTGTTGAATGAGTGCTTATCTCATTCTATAGATTGCCAAAGGGAGAATTTCTGAAATTTTACTAGATAACCTCTCCAAAGTCACCTTATGACAATTCTCCTTGAAATTCACTGAATTCTTGAAACATACACCCTCTTTTGATTATTCTGGATCAACTGGAGCATATTTCCTCAGAATCCTCCTAATAGGGTTTAGCAACTATGTATTGATCATTCTTTTCCTCCGTGAGTGTGTAAGCTAGCTTTCCTTTATGGAGAGAAAAAAACTAGTGTGTCAGTGGCAATTTGCCAGGATACCTATTTTTGGTAGTAGTAAGTTGCTGCCACCCCAACCAGTGACGTAGCCAATCTCCTCAAAGCTCTGGCCCATAGAAGCAAATAGATTCTTGATTGTTTGCTTCCTACAGTGCATAGAAGGGACAGTCAAATGATATTCCAACTGCTGGACAAAGCTGACAGAACTAGGGACGGGTTTGTAGCCAAGGAGATGAACCCCATGGCTGTCCAGAGTACCTTCTTGATATCCTGATGAGAGATTAAGATGCCAGTCATGTACACGCCCTGGAGGTTCAGTTCTGGGAAGGCCTTCTGCCACTCTGTGATATTCCTGAATAAAATGATAGACTTCAGTTATGCCTAAGGCTGATTTCTAGATTTTTTTTTCCTGTGTTCGTAGCAGCCATTTGAAAACAAACTCCATACTTTTAAAACAACATTTTAAATGGAAACAGTTCATATGGACTGTTCAATGGAAGCTCAGATAGGCAAGGTGCAATAAACAGAATGAAATATCACACATAAGTCTTCTGCATAAATCAACATGAAAAGATAACCAAGATATCTACAATGGAAAAATAAAGCTACCAAATAATAAGTACAGTGATAGTTCTCCATTAAACATTTTCTTCCTGAACTATTTATGTAGTAATATTATTTTTGCAAATACTTTACTATTTTTGTAATAGAAAAGCAACAAAATTAATAATAATATTCAAAACATGTATTTTCTAAATCACTTTCAGGCTAATTTATATCAGATAATTTCAACAAATACAATGTTTAATGAAAAACTGTGATATACAATGCACTTGTCTCTAGAAAAAAGTCTTATTTAGAAGTTAAGGAACAAAAGTATTTCTTTTAATTAAATGTAGGTTTTAGAAAAACATTCACTATGCATTACTAACATTAAAAAATTGATTTTCTAAGAATAGTTCAAGCATTCAGTGAAACCTTAAGTGGTGAACAAAATTTTTTCAATCATATTCAGAAAATCTAATGTGTTTGCTTGCTTGTTGAGTCTTTGCGAGTCTAATTTTTTCAGCTTTGGTGATTAACTACAGAAAAAGAAATCAGAAATTAGAATGAATGCATTGCATACCTAAAAACAAAATGGTAATTATGACCAGAAAAAAAATCTCACAATTGTTAGTTTAAATAACATTTTTTAAAATGGGGAAGAGGCAGACAAATGAGGTAACTAAGCTTAGGTCAAATCAGTTACAGAGACAATTATGTAGGTTATAACTTATTAAGTATAACAGATATTAAATCTTTGAATTACCTAAAATCCTCTCACTTCAGTTCCAGATTACTAAAAAGTTTTCAATTAAAACAGACCATTCCAGTCGCCCTTTTGCTCCCATCTTTTTGGAGACAGCCTGCACTCTGTCTATAGAATGTGTGCCTACTTTTACTCTAATCTGAGCACCCATACCCCACACCTCATGGTCTTTCTCTTGCCTTTTGAAAC